ACCTATATCCTATCAACTGTAATAGGCACTTGTAGTATATAGTCACATTTCTTTACATACTCTGAAATTTCAGTTTATTTCTGCTTTGACCCCAGAGTTTGAGATGTTTTCCTCCAGGAGGTATGGAACTTTATTTTCTGAATTTGTTCATACTTTTAGTTTTGCTATTTTGTGATCACAAATGCCTGCTGTGCTACTTATACATCTGGAGATAATTGCAATTTCCTTGGTTGCTTAGAACATGATCATGTTATTGGAAAATAACACATTTCCCCTCTATTTTTGTGGAATAGATCCAATATATGAGAGATAAATCTACTTTATTTATGTCTCCTGTATACCTACTTTTTTTCACTTCACCTAATCATGGACTGGAAGAGGTATTGTTGTGTTTTTATTTTTCTTCGTAGGTCCTGTGCTCTTTATATCTTGGTGCTGTGGCCTTGGTGCTGCCAGCCTCTTTTGGGAACCACCCAGGGTTGGCTAAACGTCCCAGAATGCACAGGACAAGCCCTTCACCCATACACCCACCCAAAGAGTAATCCAGCCCCAAATACCAGCAGCAGTGAGGCTGAGAAACCCTGATATATAAAATGGGTTTGTTCTGTGATCCAAATTGAAATCATTAGTCTTTAAAATTTAATTTTAAATCATCTGTTGTTATGACAAATGTATTTGTTCTTAGTTCTACCATATTATTTTGTTTCACTGTAGTTATTATTCTTTAAGTCTTTCACTATGAGGTCTGTTTTCTATTGCATATTTATAGTTCTTTTAATATTTAAGAACATGGTTTTTAATTTTTTAAATAATTACCTTTATAGTTATATCTTTATATCCTATCTTTGGTCTTCCAATTCTTGGGGTTGTAGCAAATAGTTTCCTACTATGAGCAATGAAAAGGTATCATGTTTTCTCTTCTTTGGCATCCCATCTTGTTCCTCCCTACCTGACTTCGGTCAATAAAATTATATTTCTCAACAGTTACCTTTGTACCTCAAAATGGTACCTTTGTACCTTTGTACCTCAAAACTTTCTATAAGTTGATTTATCAGTGGTAATAATATTCATTACTTCATAGCCATCATAGATGAACAAGTAATCACACTTTTTTCCTGTTTGCTTTCCTCTCTTAATTTTATTGGTTGTATTATTTTTATCATGACATTTTTGCTACTCAAAACATGGTCCAGGGACCAGTATCATGAACATTAGCTGGGAAACTGGTTAGAAAGAATCTCAGGCCTCTCCCAGACCTAATTTCTCAAATTTCATATTTTAACAAGGTTTCTAGGTGGTTTTATGTACCTTAAAGTTTGAGAATCACTACTCTATAAAATTTACACTCTGTCTGTTACTCTACTATCCATATTTAGTTTTAGTCTTACTTCTATTAACTTTATGTAATATTCACTGACAAACCTTTTGCTTTGTTTCTCTACATTACCTCTTTTCTTAAAGTTCATTTTCTCATAATTTCCTCTAGAAGAGCTCATTGTTAGACTACACTTTAACTTGTATTTTTCCCCTTAAATATCTTACAGATTTAAATGTATTACCTTTGGTGACTGAAAGTTGCTGTAGAGAAATTCAAGGACAGACTGATTTTTAATCCCTTAAAAATGACTCAGTCATTTTGACTGTCTGTTTAAGCCCTATAACTTATCAAGAATGCTCTTGGTGTTGAGTGATATGGGCCAGTTTTCCTGGCATTGATGCCCATTCTGTAAGTAAATTCCTTCTTTTCTTACAGGTATCTTTTCTTAAATTGTACCTCTATATAGTTCTTTCATTTCATTAGTACTGTGTTTTCCTCCATAGGGAATCCAAAAAGACATATGGGTCTCCTTTTCATGTCTTCTATTTCTACCATCTTCTTTCTGATCATTTTTATCTCTCTTTAAAATATATTTGTCTTTTTCATTCACTTGTCTTATTTCTACTGTGTGTGCCCTTATCATGGCCTCCACAGTGTCTTTTGGCTTTATGATACTACTTCTTCTTCCACCTTCCTCTCTCCATTGTCCTTCATCCTTCTCTTTCTATTAATAATATGATTATTATTGGGAAAAATGGTTTCTTAATTCTGAAGTAAGTATAATTTTGCTTCTCAGAATATTCTCTTAAACTAGTTACTAAGTCACGTTTTTAAAATACACCCTTCTAGTAATTTAAATTCCTAAAAAAATCGGAGAAAAATGACTTAAAGGAGATGCAGATAGATAATAAAGAGAGAACTGTGAAGCAGAGATCACAAAAATGAAGGCAACACAATAGATTGCTGCCAAAGTAACAAGAATAACCAAAAACTTATACTAGTTATTAGTAGTAGTATTTCACTGGCTACCATTCATTGAGCTCCAGCTTGCCCAGCACTGAGCAGAGTTCATGTAGCATTTCATTCACTTTCCTACAGATACCCAGGAGGCAGACGCCTTTATTAGCTCAGTTGCATCAATAAGAAAAGTGGAGCTTTGGGAGGCTAAGAATGGATTTTGGGTTAGCCTGGCATGGAGGTGGGGAAGAAGGATCAAACCCAGACCTGCCTGATTCCAAAGCCTTCACTTAACCACTACACTTACTTGAGGGAATTGTTCATAGAAATGAGTATCTCAGAAAAAAGCCTGCCCAGAGAAACTAGCTTAGCTTTGATGTGCAAACGTATCAGTAGGCCATAACTGCATTTCCCGGTTATTCCCAGAAGCTTACTACAGGGATACAGTTGTCATCAGTCACACAGCTGGCACTGGAAGTATTCCTCTCTTCTCCCCCAGCACAGTGTATTCATTATCAAAAGTATGGCCACAATAGCTACTAATTGTGCTCTTATAAGGGTATATAAGATGGGAAAAGTCAAATTGTAAGATTAGAAAACATCAGAAGAAAGTGGGCAAGTTAGAAGGGCTATAAGTTATTTATCAACATTCAAGAAACATTTATCAAGAGCCTACCCTGGGCTAGATAGACACTCTTAGAGAGCTTGAGATTCATCACCAGACCAGACAAATTCCCTGTCCTCATGGAGTTTGCATCCAAGTAGGGAGATCGAGAAAAAACAGTAAACAGCAAATTAGTAGATTAGAATGTAATAATTGTTACTGAGAACAAACATCAGTAGGTGAGAAGCACACAGCCAGTGCTGAATAGGTACCATCAAAGAAGCTTCTACTGTGGAAAACTCTTTCAAATGCCAAGGGTCTCTGAAGTGATAGAAACACCTGCTCTGTTATAATCTCGTTCTCTGTGACAGCTGCTAAGGTCCTTATTGACACGAGTGTTATCATGATTATTGTCGAGATATTACTATTATTATTATTATATTACTATCATATATTAAGCATATATATATCATATACTATCATATATATCAGACACTGTGATGCAAACCATTTTACAAGTATGATTTCACTTAGCACTCAATTCATATTGTCTTTTCTATTTATCTTGAATTGGCACTCATGTGTAATATTGTTTGGCCTGTGATAGTGGCCACAGTAGGTCACAGAGTCACATAGTTTATATTTCTCATGGGTCTGCACACGACTCTAGGTCCTCGAGCACAGCATACACACTCAGAACATATTTGCTAATGACTGAAAAACAAAGACACATTCATAGAAAAACAGGGTGAGGACCAAAAATATGGATAGAGAAATCAAAGGGCCTGTGTACACAGTCCCAGGAAAGCTGTGGGAAGATAGGCAGCTAGTGTTCAGCAGGAAAACAAAGGCAGAAGCGCCACTGACCACCAGCTCTTTGCACTCCCACTTTCCTCCTGTTGCCATTTTCTTTTCTTTTCCTTCTTTTCCCCCTCCCAACCTCTTAGACATTTCACTTGCCAGGGATACTGCCTGAACTGCTCCTGAGCAGTCTGTGCTCTCTCATAATTGATAAAAGGAGGCGCTTTCCAATAACCTTATAAATCACAGCATGCAAATGGTTACAGTTGGGATGGGGAAAAGTGAATCTGCTAGGTTACAGAAGCCATGAGTACCTTGAAAATAAAGAATAACCCTTGTAAAATGACAAAGATAATTTCTTTTCACATAATTGCCTGGCTAGGTATTAGCCATGAAATTACAAAGAAAAAAATAACCAAATACCAACAACTGATGTATTCTAAGAGAACAAAAAGGCATGATGCATTCCCAAACAGTTTGTGATCATTAAATTACATAAACTGTTATGTTTTATCCCTAAATGGGCTTATTTTTCACTGTGTTGTTCCAGTTTGCTGCCTTGAATTCTCTCAGAAGTAGGTAGAATAAGAATCTTAAATTTAATTCTTTATTACTGAAGAGAAAAAAAAATCACATGCCAAAGCCAAAGAGGTCAAAATAGAAAATTTTGGGGGGTATTTATCACTCTGAGATACAAAGAGTTAACATAAACTTTTAAAAATATATGACTTCTATAATTGTTGAATCATTATTTTTGATTTGGCACTTAACATTCATAAAAGGAGCTTCTTTAATTTTGAGGGAAGCTTTGCTGAGTATTAAATATCTCCAGGATTGTTTACAGCCAGGAATTGTGGATTTTAGTTTACAGCATGCTATTGTTATGATTTAACCTAAAGAAAGGCAAATTAAAACTGATTTACTAAATAGGTTAAGGATAGCATACTTATTCACGATTTCAACCCTATTTCATGCTTAGACAGGCAGATCTTCATTATACACAAAAGAATACAAATGTTATTAGCATGATAATAATTATTTAGAAGATGTCCTCTTTAAAAAAAAATTAAACCAGTATTGTCATTCATGCAGCTACATTTTTCAACAGAATGACAGCTTTGCTAGTCATAGATATGTTCAAAGTACATATACAATATTCAAAGCTGTACAGCAGACATGTTATCTGCATGAGCTCGGATATGCAGTGCCAGCAACGCACTGCACACTAATCATTATGTCCTACCCACGGTACTACATGCAAATACAATCCTTTGTGACATTTTGTCAAATATTTTGAGGATTCTATACTCCTTATCGTACCTCCATCCCCGTGTCCTCATCAACAATCAGGCACCCAGAAATCAGTTCCACGGATGGCATGGACTCCGGCTAGTAACAAGCATAAAACCATGCCAAATTAATGAAAAGAAAATTAAAGATTTACATAGCAGTGGCTAACTGGCAAGGTACAGGCAAGGCAAACTTAAGTTTACATTTACTGCCTTGCTGAGCTGTATACAGCAGAGACAGCCCTGGGAGAAGCAACTTCACCCTGTATTTGTGTAGCAAGAGGTGTAAACATTACATACAGTATCCAGCATATGACATAACAGATAAATCAATTTAAAGGTCCTGCATTTGGAAAGTCTACACCATGGGTCAATACCTATTGTCAATGAGCCCAATATGATCAGATTGAGAAAATGTAGAAATGTTTCAGGACTAAAGAGTTGGCTACAGTACAAACAATGTATTTTTGAACATTGATTTGCCAGAAGTGTATCTGTTGTCTGTTGCTCCAGGCTGGCATTTTTAATTATTTCTGGGACAAATGGATCAGAGATACACAAAAAATCTGTAGGGCTTCTTGTCAAATTAATAAAATAATAATGAAAGTACTCATCTCAGACTGCAAACTGTCAAAAATCCTTGAGAGATCTACAGTAATCTACATGGTTAAACAAACTAAAATGCTCTTGCTTGCTATTTTAAATCCTAAGTGTGGTGACATAAAATAGATTGTGTGGTGTCCAGTGTACACAATGACACCTACTGTGACAAAACCCGACTATGTTTAATGACCTTTTTAAATCTTATACCTAGAGTCCATAAAAGCATTGTAATTCAGTTGTAAAACACACTTTAATAATCAAAATGCAGCTGTTAAAATAGCATTGCTCATAATTCTAACTTGAGGCAATTTTTTTGTTTTTAATGCAGAAGAGCAGACCACAGTTTAAAATTCCTATGAGGTCACTATTGGCCATTACAGTGTTTTTTTGCAACTTAATAATAGATGTTTTAAAGTTTAAGTGCAGCCTCAGGCACTCATAAGCATTTATTACAAATCGCTGGTTGCCTCCCTTATGCAGAGAGGAATAACATTTACATACAGTAGCACGGATTAATAAGATAAAAAATTTGAAAAAGCCGTCAGTCAGGGAGCGAAACTGGTGCTAATAAAGCCCACTATATTCTTCAGAAATATCAAGCCGTCTGTTCCAATATTTTGCCATTCCCCATGAGGTATACAAATCCAAATCAGATAAGTCTCCAGCAATGCCGAAGACATGCTGCTCTGCTCTCCAGTGGCACCCGGCTGAATCTTTTATTTATCTTCAGAGCAATTGTACATTCTAGTATACTAAAGACTGAAATAAACTGAACATCACTCATCAGAAAGTTTCATAAAACGGGGCTCTTTCCTTCCTTGTTTGCTAAACCATGATTAGTGGGAAAAATGCACTGCAAAGTATGTATCATGGTAAGGAAATATAATAGTAGGCATGGGACCTCTGTAAGCAAGGGCTAGTTAAATAGAACCACATCTTGCTGGAGTTTAAAATGATGCTCACGTGAAATCATACCTGGAAGGAAGAAAACTGCTTGAGGAAAGGGAGTGCACAGCCTCGTGTCCTCTGTTTCGGAGTGGCTCAAACCCAAAGGTACAGGGGAAAACGAAAGCAAAATAACACACATAATTTCACACGATGATTAAACTGCAAAGATCCTTGTTATAACAAATCACTGTGTCACTCTCCCAAACTGCAGCCTAACAAAACTGCACATAAAATCATTTCTGCCCCTCGGAACACTGCTAATTAAAAAGTACAACGCAATGTTCTGATTGGGGATGAGGCTACCCATTATTTCCAGCCCAAGTGAACATTGATAAAAGAAATTTATTTATTTATACATAATTATTATTGTTACCCTACTGAACAGTGCTGGGGATTTAGAGAAATGAGACGCCACGGTTCTAATTTTTCTTCAAGAAGTCTTCCATATTAACTCCATTGAATAATTACTGAAAAGTAATACACTCGTGTAATATTACCTTATGCAAAATTGCATTAATCAAACAGTGAGGCCGCTGCAATCAAGGAACTCGGGGGCGGGGAAAGCATAGATGCAAAGCATATTTTCCTCGGGACTTGGTTTCCTTACAGCAGGGTATTAACTAATAGTGTTTCAGCAATGATCCCATGTAAAAAAGGCAGTAACTCAGGGGGAAAGAACACAGCCCTGCTCTCACACATAGAGGGCCACATAAATGGCAAAGGAATGACCAGTTTCTGTCTTGACAGCCTCCTCCATTGCTCTGACTCTGTACACAATAAAATAAATCCTGCTTGACCTCTCCAAGGAGCCAGACCATTGTTCCCCACACGAAGAAGTAAACATAGACGCTTAATTACACCCAAGCAGCTCTACAGAACATGGGGCTTATGATACAAAATGAACAGTTTCCTGTTATGGCAGGCTTTCTTCGGAAATTAAGGAAAAGGGAAAAAAAATGTATACACGGGGCAGATCATTCCAGGTGTGCATGAAACGTGGCAAATTAGTAAGGGTTCTTGTGCATACATAATGTCTCATAAATACCGGAGTCCTAACAGCACTAATGCAAGTGCAATCATTTTTATAGCTTTTTGTCTTGTAAGTTTTGCTAAAGAGAGTGGAAGGTGCCTCTCAGATTAGAATCCAGCCCTATGTGATCACCGTGGGGGGTAGGGGGGAATGAAGTAGTGTTCATTAGGGATGTGCGTTTCATTTCTTTATTTTTAAAAGGCCCAGTGGCAGGGTGGCCAGCTGGGCTGCCAGTTATGTTGGGTTGTTATTCTGTTGTTCTTTTTAGTGGCTGTGGCTGTGAAGTGTGGTTTCTTCCACCAGCCTCTCCCAGGCTAGCTGTGAATAGTGCCCATTTTGAGATTAGGAGATTAGGTTATTCATCACTTGAGATGCTCCCCGCTGTGCTGCTACTATCAGAGCGCAGCCAAATCAAAACATCTCTGGAAGGCATTTCAGAATAATTGAATGCATCATAATTTCCCTATTAATACATATCTCATATTACAGATTATGCATGAAATGTTCACATTATCTGTTACTTTTTGTTAACGTCTTGCTCCTTGCCAGTAGATTTAATACACAGAGTGAATCAGCATGCTATGATGAAGGGATAGGTTACTGATAGCCATTTTTTTTTCAGGATTCGGTAGAAAATTAAAGTAAATCGATCATTTTATAGCCCCACTGGAATGGCTAGAAGGGCATGTTGCTAAGCAAATGGTAATTTAAATGTACTGTGTAATTTTTCTACGTAATTTACTGAAGGAAGATTTTATTTCTCAGTTAATATCAGAAGCTCTTTATCTGTTAATGCATGATGTATCCATGATAGACAAATTATTAATCTATGTTTTAATCAAATGCTGCAGCTTGACAACTGATCATGAAGGCATTATAGGAGTTAAATCCTATACCCTGCAAGAATATGACTATTATTAATACCTGAAAAAAGACAGATGATCAATTCAATGTTACCTATATAAAAGCATGCACTAAATTCTAATAAAAAGTAATCAAAGCAAATCCTAATGAAATTTAATTAAAATGCCCGCATCTCATAACAAAAAGTTATATCCAGTATTTTCAAATTGTACATTTGCATTTCATGAGAGTTATCTGGTCACAAAAGATGCCCTATTTAAATATTTTGGCATATTTTAAATGTAATATGGAAGAAAATAACTAAGAACTGGAAAAATAATAAACATTTTAAGACAATTACATTATCCATGGTGAAAACATGTCCTCTCAGGTACATTCAAATAGCAAATAGTTTTTTCTTCTCCTTTTAAAAAAAGCACTTACCCCGAATAGCAGGGTAGTTGCAATTTTATAGTAAATCAGAAGTTCCATATTTTTAAGACAAATAAGAATACATATAAGAATCTGTTTTATGACCCCCATCATTTCTATGAAATTAAAAAATAAAAAGAAGGAGGGCCCCATTTACCCTTCAGGTTGCAGAAGCGAAGGCAAATCCTCCTGCTGCTGGTGTACAAAATGTATTATTGTCATTAATGAAAAAGTTAATGGGCCATTTTCTTATATATCAATTTACATTTTACAATTTGAGTATACAAATGATATGTACAGCAGAGAGCTGATTATTTTTGCTCAAGGAAATAGTTTTAATGTGTTTTTATGGACATCAAATGTTGTGAATAATGATGCATCCACAGAATGCAAATAGGATGACAGCTCTTGGGCTGTGATCAACAGTCCTTGGATAAAAGGTCTGCTGGGACAATAATGTTCTGTGGAGGGCCTGAACAGTAAAAAATGGGAAACAAGGAGGATACTGGGATATTTGAAAGGTAGATCTCCAGATGGGATTTGGAGTATGTCACTCACATATAGACATCAGATAGTATTCCCAGTATTAAGAGAAAATGTATTTAAAGAGAATGTGTCTGTGGAGCAGTGAACTGCAGACAGAAAGATAGTGCTGATTCTGGTTGATAAAATCAGTTTCTGAAATGATATGGCTCAACATATAAGAAATGAATTTTAATAGCACATTTATACTACAGTCTCAAATACCTTTGGTTTACTAACTTGTATGTGTTGGGATCACTTTTCCTTAACACTTAAGGGCAGTCCTGCAGTGGGCAAACAAAAACATCCCCAGGAATACTACACAACAGATTTCTTTGGAGGAGATATGAAGAATGACACAGACTGAATCCCTTTTCCCAGGAATATGGAATAATGTCACATCTGCCGTGACATCACAGTCCCTGAAGAGCAGCCATCTTTTATTGGCCATTGGAATTTGTGGGCAGGTGCCATCTGCACCTTGCAGCCCTGCATTGCATTGCATCCCAACCCACCTGTACCTGAAGGGTAACAGAGTATCTCGGTGACTGGCGGAAGCCACACATATCCACCCACACACCATCCCAGAACTGACCTCACCAATTTCTACCTCGGACTGGAGGGTTACAACATCAGCCTGAAGACATACACTTGTGCACTCAGGCTATTCCGGCAGAATGCCAAGACATCTGGATGGAAGTGAAAAGTTCATTCAATCATTCATTTCCCCTTTTCATTTGCATATTTGGGAAAAGGCACTCAGTAGTGTCTCTTCAGTGAGAATTCTTATTAAAGAAAAAAAAAACATTTTAAACAAGAAAACAACACAAGTGAGACTGAGTTACCTACCTAAAAAAATAAACTCTGGGTATTACCTTCCTAGACAGCGAGATGGGAGTTAATTTGGAAGAAATACTTACAAGACCATGTAAAGAGAAACAAAATGTTTCACATTTTTTAAGCTGTTTCTCATAAATTTGAAAACAAAAAGGGCCACAAACTGAAGCCAGCATGGCCTGAAAACAGCACCCAGGATAAGCGACATCAGGAAAATTAAATTAAATAGGAAAAAAAATCCTGCACCAATTACATTTTTATTAAAACATGGGGATTTTCCACACCAACAACAATGGAGCAAGACTGAAAGAGAGCCTTGTGCTTTCTGTTATACTAAGGGACAGCCGACTGTGAAGACATACCTACCTACATGAGAATGTACCTAAGAAACATAAGAGAGAGGGGCAAATTGCTCTCTGGGATGAAATACAGTCATGGAAGTGGAAAGGTACTGCTCTGGGGACTCAGGTTATCAAATCTTCATTTTTATTTTTTTAAACAATGCATGAATTGACAAATTGGCAAAGCTTTTGTTCCAAGATTACTTTCCTGTATATTTCTTTCACCACTTTTCCCTCTCCCGCTCGAGGTTCGCCTTTAGGTGTTGTCCGTTAGCCAATAAGAAGCAAAGTTTCCTGAGCTGCTTTCATAAACGCCGGCTAGAAAAGTGCACCATGAGAATGACCACAACCGCCGCAAAAAATGAACGCTGACACTTCCTTCCCCAAAACCAGTACAGTTATAAGATGCAGGAAATGGGGACCCATATGTCTGTATCAAAACCTAGATAACTGGAATTATTTGAAATTTGAAACACTGAGCGCAGAAACATTTAAATTTGGAAAGGCTCAGAGAAACTTATTTAAGCTCCCAACATTACTTCAAAGAGAGCGTACTTCCCACCCACCTCTATGCAAAACAAAGTTACTTCTTTAACTTTTGCCTCTGGTCTGGAAATCAATATGCCTACTTCCTCTTATATTTGAGTTTATTTTCTCTGCCAAAATCAAGTATCAGTGCCTTTAGGCACACAAAGGAAATGAAGTGGGCTGGATCTACTATCTTTAGCTGTCCTTCTATACATAATGAAAAGCTGAAGAGAGTTAACTTACCTCATGATATATATGAACGAATTTTAGAATGAAACTGCCTTCTCTTAAAAAAAAACAAAATATATATATATAGTTTCTTTTTTAATATATATGCATACATATACATATATGTTTTTTAATCTGACATGTAAGTATAAATGTTTTCAAAAAATACATTTCATTGCAATGTCATTCATTTAACAGAATTTTATAGCTCAAACTATATTATTTTTAGCATATTATAAAGTATACTTTTTTACTATGATTTACAATTTATCAAGTTTATTTCCTCCACCTGATTATCAAAAAAAAAAATCAAAATGCCAATGGACCCTGAGTATTTTGT